AATTTAAAAAATTACTAGTAAAATTTAATTTAAAATTTAATTTTAATTTTAAATTTTTATTTATAAAAAATCAAATATCTATTTAATTTAAATGAAAAATTTTATTTATATTTTTTAAAAGATTTGGTTATAAATATTTTATAAAGTAGTATAATAAAATTTTTTTATAAAAAAATTTTATTAATTTAATCTAGAATTTTTTTTAATTTACTATATAAATTATATAAAGAATATATATTAATATACTAAAAAATCTTTATAAAAAAATCAGTTTTTATTCAAAAATTTTAAAGATTTAAAAATATATTTTTTAAAAAGTATATTAAAAAGAATTATTAAAAAAAAATTTAGATAATTTAAATAAAAAAATTTTTTTAACTTCTAAAATTTTTATTATTATTATTATTATTATTATTTTGATGATCATGTTATGATTCCAATACTTTATTGATGTTAAATTTTGTTTGAAAACAATAAATTTTTACATTGTAGAAATATCTACATACTATAGGAATGTGGCTCACCCGGTTACTATAAGAGCACCTATGTGCAACCTGCAAAGATAATTTTAGTTTCACTAGTTAAGTTCAGTCTATCTCAGACGGACTATTCTGGATTACTAACATGGATTACTAGCCTGTCATGATTATTTTCTTTTCCAGCCTTTTTCTCCTAGTCTCCTAGATAGAAGAATTTCTACCAACAAATAACAGGAAATTTACAAAATAAAGGAATATAAAAAGAGAGAAAATACTAAACTAAATAAAAGAAAAAAAGAACAAAAATAAAAAAAAATAAAAAAAAAAGAAGACTACAAAGAAAATGACCATGACAGCACTATTTTTGCCTGTGCTAGACTTTAAAAATTATATAGGTTGCATAAAGTAAATCTAATCTAACACTATATATAAATATAAAAAAAAAGAAAAAAAAGAAAAAGTATAGTATTTATAATGTTAGAAATTTCATCACATGCCCCATTCGACCGTCTTCTACAGCAGTTCTTGTTTGTTTGGCAAGCATTAACCAAATTTACTTGTGCGAAATTCTATTTCAGTAGATGTGTTTCTAATTTGGAAGGGCCCAAATTACCATATTTGGCAGCATCGCAAAGTACCGATCTTTTGAAGGGGGTAAACAGAAAAGCCTACTTTTGTTGAAATTTCAAAAGGCCAAAAGTAGTGTTCTCTAATAAGCCAGCTCAAATAGGCTTGCTCAAAATCTCTATTGGCTTATTAAGGCTTATTTAGTTTTTATACTATATAATATATAAAAATATCACTCATTTGTATAGTTTATATTATAAACTATACAAATAAGTAATATTTTTATATATTATATAGTATAAAAACTAAATAAGCCCTAATAAGCCAATAGGGATTTTGAGCAAGCCTATTTGAGCTAGCTCATTAGAAAATACTAGCTAAAGAAGCATAGAGGAAAAGTACCAAAAACCCAAGAGTTAGTAAGAGTTATGCTAAATATAATACTATATTTTACCAAGTATCTACTTCTATTTTCATATCTATAGTATTTGACAAAGCTTCAAGAATATCCTATTATATTATTGCTTAATAGTATTATAGCTCGCCAAGATGCCTCTCTTAGGTGTTTGCTTATTATCTTTTTTAACTCTATTTCAGAGAACAAAGCACTCAGTGAATAGACTTTGTACTTGATAGCAGCTAAGTGAAGTTTTGTTTTTATAAAATATAGTATATATAGGGTTTTCATAGTTCAGTTTTTTCTGCAAAATTTTGGTATAAGAAATTGTTAGAAAGAGTTGTATAAACTAGTACCAATTGAATTTTTTTTTTTCATAGGATACTTTAGGTGGGAGTCCACCTCTCGAGAATATTCAAAGCCCAGTTTCTAGTACATTGTCTTCAACTAATTCAGTAATCGGGCAATATTCACCTACGACTTCAAACATTCCGAATGGTTCTAGTAAATTAAAAGTATCTACTAGTGTTCCAGATTTTCGTAGTTACAGCCCAAAGGGGCCTAGTCCTATAATAATTAATCCTCGAACATCCTCAATTGGTTGGGACAGAGAAAGTAATAAGAGTCTTTCTCCTAATTCAGCTCTTCCTGAACATGAAAATAGTATTTACGCCGGACTAAGGGTTGTGGGGAGCGTATCAATTTCACATTTACCAGAGCAGTCACAATCTTTTGCTGCTTCGCATTCACATAATATTCATAATCAACCTGTTATACAACAATATTCAATGAGCAAGTCAGAAGACAAAAACATAAGTCCCCAATCTAGTAAGAGACAGATTAAACATACATCTCATAATAGATCGCAAAGTCATTCGGTATGAATATTTTTATTTATATATATACATGTATATGTATATTCTTTTTTTGGAATTCGAAAATAATTAACATTATTATTTTGAATTTCAAAGTCAAGTGACTATACGTCTTATTATGATCCTCCAAAAAAAAAAATTATTCAAGTAACTAAGAACATGGAACACTTTCGTTTAGCCAAATTTACTGATTATGAAGATCCCGATTCGATAAAAGATGTAATATTCTCTCATCTAGATATTGACCAAAATGAGAAAGAAAATTATACAATTCATGTGGCTGAGATCGGTCAGGACGAAATAGGTATGCTTCCTTTCATGATTCAGTTTAATTGAAAACCCTTTAAATTCATTTAATATTATTGTTGTGCTGAACATAGGTCCAGCAATTAGTGATGATGATCTCGTTCAAATATGCATGAACGCAGATGATCGTGGTAATTTAAAACTATTAGTCCATCGAATACAGCCTGATCAACTTAATTCTATGGACTATAAAGATCAAAAA